CCCGGTGTGTCACACATGAACCTTCCCCCCGTTGAACTTGAGAATAGACATGAATAGACCAAGACCTGATAAGACGCGTAGACTTTGAGATTCAGGCGCCAGATTCTGAGTTTTTCAAGGGCGCGCACTTCTCTGTCCGGACCCAATGGTAGGGGCCGCTGCTGGCGGTTTCCATCGCTTACGCAGCCCAGCCTCCTTTGCCGAAGTCCGCCAGTCCGGCCTCTTCCGCAGCAGCACACCTCGTCAACTGCTGAGTCGTCGCTTGGTGGAGACCGTCTGGCCGAACAGGTAAAAGCATGTAAAAGAGAGACGCAAGAGATTGGGGGATGAACTTGCCAAGTGTAAGAAACTCTTTTCTGTGAGAAGCACCACCAGTTGCGGTGGGAGGATCCACAACAGCGCCGCGTACGTTGGAGTGCCAAACAGCATATGACGGGTTTTATCGGGTTTTCCCAAAACAGACGACGACTACAGTGACCATTTGAAATAGTTTGAAGGAACACGCAACAAGCACCAACGCAGTGGCATGTGAGTTTTGGATGCATGTTTTCTCCATGGCAGGCTTCGGGAATATCTTTCAGGACACTCTTGAAGCCTTTCTGACAGCAGGTGGAATCAATGCACGCTTTCCAACCATCGAGCAGGTGAAACTTGCGAGTGAATCCTTGTTCAATGCATCTGCTGAAGCGGACCTTGTGGAGATTTTCATTGGCCACTCCTGGAGTGCTGGGCGATGGGCAAAGTTTTTGGCTCTGTGCATGTGCCTCGGCTGGACCGAGAGACAGATATCTGTGACCATTCTGTGACCATTCTGTCGATCCATCCGTTACGCCTCACGTGACGATCGGTACGCCTCAGTTTTGTGATGGTAGCTCTTTTGGAAGGCAAGTGTGATAGGAGATAGGAGAACCGTTTTGAGGGGTTTTCCAGCTGACAGCTTCTTGAGCGTAAAACGACTTAATACACACAACTGAGGTACTTCAACCTCGGCATGGCAGTCAAATGTGCCTTTGGAACTTGGCTTCTTATGGTGACTGTGCTGCTGGGATGGGGTGGAATCACCAGCCTTGGAGGCAGCTGCCTTGCCTTGCCATGTCTGGTATACCTACCCATGATCATGTTCTTCCTGGTCTTCCTATTCGGGCATCAGATCATGGGTGACACTCCATCCGTGTGGGTGGACAAGCTTTGCATTCACCAAACAGACCCAGACTTGAAGGCGGAGCAGATTGCGTCCCTCGCGGTCTTTGTGGCCCGGTCACAGCGAATGCTGATCTTGTGGGACGACACGTACTTTGAGCGATTGTGGTGCAACTTAGAGCTCGCCACCCGCGCACGCTATGGTGGAGCAGAGAAAGTGGAAGTGCTGCCTTTGTGGTTGGCCCCATGGCTACTGACCTCGATCTTGTTGGATTTGCTCAGTGTGACCATTTTCGAGGTCATGGAACATGTTTTTCCCAACTGGAGTGCAGCATGGATTGAGAAAACGACCGACTTCGCAGAGGCGATTTTTGGGGAGAGACAATACTTTGTGGCGGTGTTTTGCATTTGGATGATGTCATGCATTGTTTACTTGCCCACATCCATACCTTGTTTCTTCTCCTTTCGGATGAAGCTACGAAATCACCAGTTGATGCTTGATCAGATGGCAGATTTTGATGTGAAGAATGCCAAGTGCACTCTGCCTGCTGATCGGGAGCCCATTGAAGAACAGGTGAGGGAGCTTTTCAAGGACAGAGATGATCTTGACGATCAGGAAGCCATGGCGACGAATGATGTTGATGCTGGGGAGGCAGGCAGCTTTGTCGGAAAGTTTCAAGAACCATAACTGAACACATGCCCAAAGACTGTTGATTAAGCTTGGACTATAGTATGTTGTTTCATGATGTTTCATGGCAACCTCGCCAAAAACATATTCGGCCGCTCAAAACATTGTGTTGAAAACAAGACACAGCAGCTTCAGCCAGTGGACAATTTTTGGAAACCGTAGCATGTTGAAGCATTTGTTCGCAAATTGCGCACCCTAAGTTGCCTAGGTAGCAGCAGACCATTCCCTGGGAGTCAAAAACCATAAAGCCGATAAAGCGAATTATTTTTAGGTGAAGGAACTTCAATGGGGACATTGTGCATATGTTGGCATTTGTTTCTTGCCGGAGGTTCGTCTTCAAAGGTTTATTGGTGTCAACAGCTCCAGCGATCCGCTGCAGAGTTTCAATGCTTATGTCAGGGGGACGCTGCGGGACTTTGTGGTCGCACAGATTGGTGACGAGCTGTTTGTACCTTGGCGGACCTGCCTGATTGCTTTCCTCCCCATGATCTTTTACTCCTCGGTGAATGTTCTGGGCTGCGACAATGGACCATGTGAGACTTCCTTCAAGTTGCAGGGCTTTAGCTCTGTGAGCCAATACATGGTCGCGAATGGTGCGGCCTGGATGCTGTGTTTGTCCTTGGCATTTCCTCTGACCTATCCCATCCTCCTTCGGATGCTAAAGTTTGTTTTCTCATTCGGAGATGGTGTACCGCAACATGTTGCAGCTTTCCTGTGCTGTCCTTTGGCTTTCATCTACAACTACATTTGCGGCAGCCTCATTTGTGCATCTCTGCTTTCTTTGGTGGTGCAGTACTCGGTGAAGAAGCTCTTGGTTTTCGTTGTGATCCTAGTCATTCTGACAGCGCAAAGCATGTGGCTTTTTTTCCGGACGCATTCAACGCCGGAATGAGATGTCATGCCGCTGCGTCCAGAGAAAGGCTTATGAGGCCATCGATGGCCGCGATGGTCAATTGCACATGTCACATGATGTCTCTCTTCTTTGAACCGGATGTATAGAGTATAGATTTAGACTAGTAAAGAGATGTTCAGAGCATGGGGCTAGGACAGGCAGCCCTGGAACGTTCAGGCTTTCCCCTGAGCGCGTTTTGAACCCAGTTTGATGCCAATCCTACTGGCAGTTGGCCAGAGTAAAGGGCTCCGAGACAGTACGGGGTCTTTTCACTTACCATCACTTACTCTGTTCTTTTTCGGAGGTGACAGCCACAAAGTTTTGGTCATTGCAGTTTAATGTGTTTTGTGCACAACAAGGACACACGCACACAAACTTCATGTGACAATGGTATGTGACAGTGGTTGCACCTCTACACAATGAACGTGACCACACTGCACCCCGCACGGCGAAGCTCTGATCATGCAGCTGCCGCAAGTCTTTTTCAATATTTTCTGAAGTGCGTGTAGGAGCGAGACTCCCCCATTGCCAGTCAATGTGAAGAATTCTTCTACCATGTTTGGGCATCAGTCCCCGATCCAACCGAATATTCGACCTGAATCAGAGTGCGGATACTAGTGTGAATCTATGCGTGACAATGGGAGAGCTCAGGTGTTTTTCCATCAGTTTCACCGTTTCACTCAGCTTTGCACTCCGTTTTGGAACGGGCGTTTTCCAACAAAGCTTCTCACTGATTGACCTATAGCAGTTTTCCCAAAGGTTCCC